GTACTGTGACAAGAAAGTTATTCTGTAGATGGCATATGCAGTGACAAAAGGGTGATTCTATAGATGGCATATAGTAACAAGAAAGTTATTCTGTTGATGGCATGTAGTGACAAGAAAGTGATTCTGTAGATGGCATGTACAGTGACAAGAAAGTTATTCTGTATTGGCATGTACAGTGACAAGAAATTGATTCTGTAGATGGCATATACAGTGACAAGAAAGTTATTCTGTAGATGGCATGTACTGTGACAAGAAAGTGATTCTGTAGATGGCATGTACAGTGACAAGAAAGTGATTCTGTAGATGGCATATACAGTGACAAGAAAGTGATTCTGAAGATGGTATTTACAGTAACAAGAAAGTGATTCTATTGATGACGTATACAGGGACAAGAAAGTAAATCCATAGATGGCATATACAGTGACAAGAAAGTGATTCCATAAATGGCATGTACAGTGACAAGAAAGTGATTCTATAGATGACATGTACAGCGAGGCGAAGGCGATTCTATAGACGGCATACACAATGTGAAGAAGGTGATTCAGTAGATGGCATGTGCAGTGACAAAAAATGATTCTGTAGATGGCAGATACAGTGACAAGAATGTGAGTCTGTAAATGGCATGTACAGTGACAAGAAAGTGATTCTGTAGATGGCATATACAGTGACAAGAACCTGATTCTATAGATGGCATGTACAGTGACAAGAAAGTGATTCTATAGATGGCATGTACAGTGACAATAAAGTGATTCTATAGAAGACATATACAGTGACACGAAAGTGATTCTGTAGATGGCATTTACTGTGACAAGAAAGTGATTCTATAGATGACATGTACAGAGACAAGAAAGTGATTCTGTGGATGGCATATACAGTGACAAGAAAGTGATTCAGTAGATGGCATGTACAGTGACAAGAAAGTGATTCTATAGAAGACATAAACAGTGACAAGAAAGTCATTCTGTAGATGACATGTACAGTGACAAGAAAGTGATTCTGTGGATGGCATATACAGTGACAAGAAAGTGATTCTGTAGATGGCATGTACAGTGACAAGAACCTGATTCTATATATGACATATACAGTGACAAGAAAATGATTCTGTAGATGGCATGTACAGTGACAAGAACCTGATTCTATATATGACATATACAGTGACAAGAAAGTGATTCTGTAGATGGCATTTACTGTGACCAAAAAGTGTTTCTGTAGATGGCATGTGCAGTGACAAGAAAGTGATTCTGTAGATGGCAT